ATATTTTTAAAAAGAGAAAATATTTAAAAATGAGCTGATGTCATACATCTCCTGAAGAGATTTTAAAAATTTGACCTAGAGGAAATAAACTGTTCAATGGAAAAATGGTGGAGAGCTGGGTAATGTCTCTGAGACAGCTTCCACTGGTCTGGGATTTGCTGCCTGTTTTGTGTGCAATTAGTCCATCCGGCTTCCAGAAGCATTGCGTCTGGATGATGTAATGGTTGGAAGTGATTTAGTGAATGGACAAGAATAAAAAGTGATGTCACTGAGAAATTAGCTTCTAAATCAATTGAGGAGGCTGAAGTTAGTACAGAAGCAAGTATATTCTGGAAGGTGTTACAGGGAGAATGAGGGATATAGTCTCCATCTGGCGTGGGTGGGTGTTCACTTCCCTCAGGAGATTTCAGCAATACTCTGTGGGCACACAATTCACATCTCATGATGTAAATTTTAGAATTGTTTCTAAAAGTTGGCACATAAAACCAACACTTTAGCCTTAGTCTAAAATAAAGTGAAGAATCACTTTTACCCAGCATAAATAGCTACTTCAGTATTTCCGAGGAAAGGCAAGATGAGCAGATTTGGAGATGGGATAGTCAAAGTGATGGAATTATTTTTGCCTAATGAATTAGGTTAGCAGTTTTCTAATTATATTGTTTCTGTCTGATATTGTGACATCAGTCATGAAGTGTAAATCATGAGACATGTCACCACATATCTTACATATTTTGTAGCCTGATAAGCTTTTCAAACAAATGTCATTCATTCAGTTGATCATGAAATTGTGAACTGATTTTCTGATGGCTATTTTAACCATATTAATTTATATGCTCCCATCAGAATATATTTATTGGAGGGTTACAGGCCAGCCAAGTATTCTGCCATTGATATAACCATCAGAATAACTCAGCAAACTCACATAATCTCCTTTAGTTATTTTATGTTTAATTTAATCTCCAATACAAATATTTTATATGAAGATGCTGAAATTGTAGGATAGCTGCATATATTTTCATGAGTACTTTAAGTTACTGGTGGCTTGTGGTACTTTTCATTTTCGTGGGTAACATTGGAATGTAGTTGAAGTAGCTTCAATATAACCCTATATTTTAAACTGACTTATAGTTGCTACTGTCCAAAATAAAAATGAAAGTGGTATTTATAAGGGAGCTTGCTGCAATTGTATTTGTAATATGAACTATTATAGATCAATGCACTGTGGATATTTTTAATCCATTAAATTTATGGCTTTTGGCTAGTAATGAATTAAACGGTAACTTATGTTAGCTGCTTCTAGGTGCTAGGTAACTTGACCCAACTCATTTGTTCCTTCCATCACGTTGCCCAGATTTCACAGAGAAGTAATCAGAGGCACAGAAATGTGAGGGTGTTTGAATGATGACAGAAGTCAGTATGTGGCAGAGTTACAAAGTATATGTTGGTGTTCTGACTTAGATTTGTGTTTAAAACAAGCAGCTACCTTGTATCTCAAGCACTGCATAGTGTGTGGAATCTTGCATTTTGTCCCCTAGTTCTTTTAACTGAGTTAGTATGCTAATTTTGAAATATTGACAGCTCATGTACTGAAAGGTGAAGAGATTTTTCTCTCCGATGATGCAAACGCTAGCATTTATATTTAATGGCGGATTTGGAAGACCACTTGTAAGAAGTGAATTTCTTGAAGCAAATATAAAGTAAGTCGAGGAGTAGGGTGGGGGCCATGAAGGAAGATGGTTTGACCATTACAGCTTGTCATAAAGGAAGTGATTCAAAGCGCTGTTTTTAGAGTTTTTATAAAAGAATTTCTGCTGTTTGTAATGAGTGTTATGCAAAGAAAAGTAGGCAGACCTATTCTGAAGAGCAAGTTGTTGAGTGAAGCTCTAGGGTGTATAGGTAGAATGATGATTACTTCACCAATGATTCAATGGAAGAATAGGATTAGATTCAAGGGAATTAAGAAATATCTCAGAAAAGGGCATCAAATTAGACCTACATCAAATTAAAATCCTTTTTTCTGGCATTACAACATTCATCATAGATAAGGGACTGCCTACAGAATGGGAAAAATACTAACCAACTACACAGCTGACAAAAGGTTAATATTCAAAATATGTAAAGTACTAAAGATATTGAACACTCAAGTCCTAGCTGGGAGGTGGTGGCGCATGCCCTTAATTCCCAGTACTTGGGAGGCAGAGGGAGACAGATTTCTGAGTTCAAGGCCAGCCTGGTCTACAGAGTGAGTTCCAGGACAGCCAGGACTATACAGAGAAACCCTGCCTCGAAAAACCAAAAAAGAAAACAAACAAACAAACAAACACAAAAAAAGAACACTCAAGTCCAAATAATCTAACAAATAAATGATTGATGAATTAGACAGTTTTCAAAGAAGAAATGCTTTGAAATATCAGTCCTTAACTATCAAGAAAATGCCAATCAACCTATACATGAGATTCCATCTTATCTCAGTTAGAATGTCTGCCATCAGAAGCAAATGCTGTTAAGACATGGAGGAACTTGCTGGTGGGAATATACATTAGTGGAGCCACTATGAAAATCAGTTTCTCAGAAAATTAAAACTATGATTATTATATAACCCAGCTCCTGGGTATTTACCTGAAGATCAGCAGTTCAACCAAAATAGATGTTCACTTACATGCTTATTGCTGCTCTACTTACCACGGTCAACTGTGCAATCAGCCTAGATATCCACCCACACATGAGTATATGAAGAGAACTTGGTAAGAGACACAAAGGAGTCATACTCACACACAGAGAAGACTGAATTTATATAATTTGCAGGAAAATGAAAGGGACTGGAGGTCATGTTGCCAAGAGAAGCAAGGCACACTTATAGCGACAATCTCATGTTTCATTTTACATGTAGAATGTAGGTCTTAAATAAAGACATGAAGGCGGAAGGGGGGACTATTTCAAGGTAAGATCGGTGGGTTGGGTGTAAATATGACTGTGTAGGAAAATGCCACAGAGAATCTCATTATTTTGTTCAGCTGAAAGTTGGGGCAAACATCTACCTTAAGAAGAAAGGATGTAGTTGAGGGATGTCAGCCTAAGACAGTTTGAGAAATAAACATCAGAATTGTATAAATTAGAAGTAGAGATATCCAGCATGGCGGTACACGACTATAATCTTACTACTTGGGAAGTGGAGGTAGGTGAATCACAAGCTTGAGGCTAGCCTAGAATACAAAGTATCCCACTATTCTACAGAAAAAGAAGTGAAGAGATCCGATTATGTAGCCCATTCATCTCATTTTGCTGTTGAGGAAATTCAACTTCAGAGGTGTTGTAGGTTTCTCTCTGCCTTTCTTTTGTATGTATACATATGTGTGAGAAGCTTACCTTAGGGCTGCTTGAACATTTCTACATATGGACCATTTACACTGAGACATTTTATGTGACTCTTGATCTGATAGGTTTATTCAACAAGTATACAAATCAAACCTTTGCTAATAATAAATCATAAAGAAAATTATTTTTAAAATTTAATATATATGCTTATTGATTTGATATATACATATAATGATTTTGCCATTCAGGAGAGAAGGATGTGAACTTGCCTACTAATGAGCTGAATATGTTTTATTATTTTTACACAAAGAAAAATGACATAAGATACCAAGCCATAGAGCATCTTTAATATTTTTCAGAGTAGATTGATATGCATATCTTATCATTTCAACACTGAGAATTCCACTCTGCATAAATATGTGACACAAAATGGCAACGGGTGAGGTTAGGGCTATTTTAGGACTTTTTGAAATTCTATGTTAATCCCAAGCCAAAATCTACTAATAATGAGCTAATAATGAGTTTTTAAGAAATTCAAATCATCAAGGCAGGCAAAAATCTCCTATGAGTATTTTTAAAAAACATTTACCTCTGCATGTGTGTTGATGTATGTGCACTGGAACATGCTCTTGCCATAGTATGTAGGTAGAAGTCAGAAGACTGCTTGGGGGAGTCACTGGCCATTTCTACCCTATGGGATCCAGGTATAAAAGACAGGTCGTTAGGTTTGGCAGCAAGTACTCTTATCCCCTGAATCATCTTGCTGCTCCCAAACTAGCGATTAATAAATGTTAAATATCATAACAATTCAATCCAAAGGTACACCAGTTTGATATTTACATGCTGAGCAGAGATGGCAAGAAAATACTAATGTCTTTATTATTTCTTTTACAATAAAATAATTGTATTTCTTTTTCTTTAGTAGCCAATACTATCTTAATATAGTTAACATTTAATATACTTGACAAACAATGTTTTTTTCAGGTAATATTATAGGCTATAAAGATTATTACATGATATGTAAATCATTTAATTCTAAATACCAGTACTCTGATAGTTTGAAAAAAAATCAAATACAAAAATAACCGTGTCTGCAAAATTAGCTCTGCAAGAAATTCTAAGCCGTGTCCTTGTCTTGGCACCTATTCACAGATCCTGAGTTCATTGGCTTCAGTTCTGTTTCAAGGATTGGGAAGTTACCTGGATCTGAAATGATGGCTCATTCTTCTTTGCTTTATTCTGATCTTAAGTTGTGAGCGTGGCTTCTTATAAACCTTCGACACCAAGTTTAGTCTGGCTGAATTTAATACCTGTTGTTCTCTGATTATTCATATTCAACCATTTTTTTTATGTGAGTTCAACAATAAAATAATGTTGGGAGGTTTTTCTACAAATGAATAGACTCCCAAGATTTCCACATCTTCCTTAAGTAATTTTTGTTGATTAATGTTGAAAGGATTGTCATTGCATCCATAAACATTTTTATTTAATTATAACTCATACTTTTATTGGAGAAATGACAGGACAATTAAGATTTTTTTATATAAAATGTAGGAAATAAAAGATATAACAGGTCATTAGTTGATCAATATTAAGCTGGGTGATTTCGGTTATGGATACATTTGAATATGTTTAGAATGTTTAAGACTATGAAATAATAATGGAGAACAATTTTCCTCCTTACCCTAAATAGTTATAAGTAGTTCACCATGTTTGGGCACAAACTTTCTCTCCAAAGATATGCCAAATGCAGTTTTCAGTACGTCTTCCATTTCTTCCTCATTGACATTCTTAAACTCAACCAGATCTACATTGTCCTTATAACGGAATCTTCTACTTGTAGAGGTGGAGCCCACTAAACAGTGAACCCCTTCTGAGGTCTGCAAGGAACAGATCGACGTGCCTACAAATACAGACGATGGGGATGTCTGAAGGTAGGTATTCACATATTCGAAATCTTCGATAATGCAGGGCTCAAGAGTAAAGGAATAGATTTTTCGATATTTGTTCTTCTCAAGGAGGTCTGAGTTAACAAATTCTTCGTTCGGAACATACTGTTCTCTTCTGATCTGGTCCAAGTACCAGGTTCCATTCTCCTCTGTCAAACGGAAGATGGCAGGCACCTGAGGCTGATCTTTCCCAGATACCAATTCCACAGGCTCCCACATCTGATAGGAGTCTCCATAAGCAGAATCTACAATGTAGTTCCTGTCACCGATGGTCACCTGTACTAGAAGGTGGACCATTTCACTGCTGTACTTATTGGCTGGAGTTATGTAAACATAACCTCCTAACATTGTGGTTTTAAAGCCCATTTTGGTCAGAGCCCAGTACAGCAGATGATTAACCTGGAGACACCATCCACCCCTCTTCTTCCTTACTATGTGGTCAAAAATGGCTTATAAGTCCAGATGCATGGCTTCTCCACAATGCATGTTAAGATTCTCAAAAGGAACTGCTCGCATCTGGTGCCGAAGAACTTCAGTTAATGTGGCCAAGTCCAATTTATTCACCGAGTTTTTGTAGCCAATCCTTTCAAAGTATGCTTCGATGTCCATGGTCCCCTGTCGTGGGATGTTTAGCATAGGCTGATTGTCAGGTTTAATGCCGTAGAGTGTTTCTTCTTTTTGGTGAAAACTTTCAGGCCTGGGTAGAATTCTGCTTCCTGGTCTTCCCGTGAAACAAGGTGAAATCCCGGTTTTGAAGAACACTGTAAGTCAGTCCAGCAGCCGGGGAGCTCTTCTTACCTGGCGTAGCAGGGCCTGCCAAATAATTGTATTTCTATAAGACTAAAATACTTCAGGGCTGGAGAGACGGCTCAGCAATTAGGAGTGCGTACTACAGTTCTAGAGTACCTGAGTTTGGTTCCGAGCACCACGTCAGGTGACTCACAATCACCTGTTGTGACTCCAGCTCCAGGAGTATCCAGCAACTGCAACCTCAGAAGATGCCTGCACTCATGTGCACACCCCGGTCTACTCACACCCATACACCTAATTAAAAATAATAAAAATTGTATTTAAACAAGAGAAAATGGTCTGTGTACAGTAAAACAACTGCAGGTCAAGACAGAAGTTTAAGTCTCAAACCCGAGCTGAGTGATTGCTGGCGTTACATAGTGGCTGTGTGCTCTGAAGTGAAGTACCACAGCTGTGGTGAAACTGCGGGATGTATCGCAGGCGAGTGAGTACTGAAAGCAGCCACCATTCCTGAAGGGTTGATTCTAATTCATTTTGGACATTTGAAGCTTTAGAAATCTTTTACAGTTGATGAATGTTTTGAACATTCAGTTGTGCAGTGCTATCTGGAACTCGAACCCACAGTTTAAGAAACTGAGGCCTGAGAGATGGCTCAGTAGGTAACGGTGATTGCCGCCAAGTCTGATGATCAGAGTTCAATCCTTAGAACCTACTTGGTAGGAAAGAATTGACTCCACGTGGACATGCACGCGCGCGCGTACACACACACACACACACACACACACACACACACAGAGCCCAAACACACCACCTCAAATATAATTAATTTTAAAAAGTCATACCTTGTTTTTTTTATTTTTTATTTTTTTTATTTTACTACGGAACCTTTCTTAGAAGCAGTTACAGCCCAATAACGTATAAGTCAGGGAAAAAAGTAAGTCAGTGAAATGACAGTAAAAATCAGAATAATAAGATGCTTAGGGGTGAAATTTGAAAATAAAATACTCATTAACGGTTCCCAAATGCTATAAGAAGAATTTCGTGTCAGTTTCCTCTTTATGGCAGCCAACACTAAGAAAGGTCACAACACAATATACATAGCTACAACAACCTATACTTTTGACTTAGAATATGCGTAATAATTCCTGGTTCTGAGTTCTCGGTAAATTTACTCTAAAACACTTTTAGATGAGGGTTGAGAAAGGGCTGGTTAATAAAATGAACAATACTCTCAACAAATAAAAATACACATATTCCACAAGGGGGTTTTCTTATTCTTATTTCCTGCAGGTTGTTGGTAGAACAAGTTTACACAATTTAGTAGAATTATGAGAGCTAAATACATAATCCAGATATGTGGCTATCTCACAATTGTGTGTGTGTTCATATGTATGTGTTTGTGTGTGTGCATGTTGTGTGTTCATATGTGTGTGGGCCTGTATTCTTTGTAAACCTTTCCCCTGTTTAATATTTGTGCTTTATCTTTCAGATAGCATATTTCCCCAATAGAATTGTGAATTTGCATGTTAGACTAGGAGGCCCTTTCAAGTCTACAGGGGGCTGAGCTGAATGAGTACTGAGAAGTAAAGCCAAGATTTTCACTGAAAATAAGTTTGAGTTTATTCCAGCACTTGAACAGATGGGTGATGGAAACCCCCAAAATGTGGTCAGAAGAATTTTAGGTTTGGAATAGTTTCAATGTGGATGGGAATAAATGCCCCCCATAGCCATAAAAATAAATTTCAAGAAGGGCCCCATGGAACATCTGAAGTTCAGGCACAGTAGCTTTCTGTGGAATGTTCCAGGATAAAATGCAGTACCATTGCCGATACATTCTAGCCCTGTTCAACCAAGTATAAATCCACAGTGACTTACTCTCCTCCTATGGTCACCACCTCAGCTGCCAGGCTTTGGGCTTCTAATGACTTTTGGCAAAATTTACAATTACAGAAGTTTACCAAAAACGTTAACACAAGTATTTTTCTAAAAGAAAATGCTATTATGTGATTTAGTCTGAGTATATAGCAATGGTAATGAACAGTCTTGGAAATAACCCCACCACTTCAACTTGATCTTCAAGTAGACCATGTAGAACTCACATATTGTGTGCATCTCACTAATTTTAAATTTAGACCATTTCAGTATTTTAAAGATCCATTGTCTTTTCAAGGACTGAAACAATGTTTCTCTATCAAGAGGGGATTAACTCCCCAAAGCACTTGCACTGACAAGTTTATGTTGATCTTGCAACTATATATTATTTACTCCTCTAGGTATTAAATGAAAGTAAAACCTCTGGCATATAGACAAGCAACTATCCTGGTTTAGATAATAAACTAAGTGGCAACACTATCCTCTTCTGGTGCTTGGTTTTGTAGTCAATGCCAATGGCCACCCATACAAAGAATATGGACCACACTTCACAATGGCTATTGGTAAAATTGATCACAGAACATGTACAAACTACTTACCTGAGAACCTAAGACATTCAGCTTATGGATCAGAGTTTACCACAGTGAACTATTAAATAATTTCTTATTGGGCAGAGGTGTGGCTCTTTAAAAAGAGTGACCTGTAGACACTGCTAAGCCATGTTATTTATATGTAGAAAGATTTGAACTTGTAGTTAGAAGAATTCCTTAAATGATCCTGAAAGAAAGAAAGCTTTGTCCTAGAGCTTTATATAGATGAGCTTTTAGAAAGTACAGCGCCATACATCATGGGAAATGGCCTTCTGGTGTAGTCATAGAGACGGCTGAGATTCTCAAAGGCCAGAGCAATTGACATGGCTTTGCACAGGTGGGCTAAGTGACAAAACTCCAGGATCAACTTGAATCTGACTTTTCCTGACCTCTTTCAGTAAACTTCTGCCTCTAGTCACTTGTTTCAGATTAAGTTCTTCTGCTGAATCTGAGGATCAGAGTCACGACCTTCTGTGAAGGTTTATTTACGTGAGTCCCTTTAAGGCACAGAGGTTTAAAATCACAGAGACTGAGCCTGACTGCAAATACCATGGCTCAGTTTTCTGATCCCAGCTAAAGTAACTGTAAGCGTCAACGTGCTGAGATGTGAGGCCATGGTTAGAATTAAATTATTTCCATTGGGAAAGAAACTACTTGTAATTTCCTTGCTGAAGACCTTCAGGAATCCTACAGCCTTAGGTAGAACTGGTTAGCCTTCCGCTGCATATTGACTACATCTTTAATGTATTTCTGTTATATTTATTCTCTCACATTAAAACATGTATTTGTTTGCATATTCATCTTTCATTCAAAAGACAGAATTTTATAGTGGAGAAAATCATTCCTTGTTTGCTACTGCTTTCATAATACCTAACATAGAATCTATATTGAATGAACGAATAATTTATTTATCCATTTATATAACAATTATTGAGTAGGTTTTTTTTTTTTACAAAGAAAAACCACAGGCTGTAAAAGACATCTGCCACACATATTTATTAAGATTAAACTTCCACATTAGTTTCAGATAACTATATCTTTAAAGAAATAGAATTTTATAGCAATATGCTAAGGTTCTTGTGTCTATCAAATTACCTTTACTAGTCTGCCTTTGGCAACAACATAACTGAGGACACAAGTTAAATGAAGGAAAGATTTGTTTTGACTCATGGTTGCAGCCTTCAAAGGTTTCCAACCATGGGTGCTTGGTGTGGTCACTGTTGCCTTGTGTTTATGTAGAGCATCATGGCAGTGTGTGGTAGAAAAACTGCCAGTATTATGTCACCTAGAAAGTGGCGAGAGAGAAGAAGTAGGCAGGGACAAAATGTATCCTTGATAGGCTCATAGACAGTGAAGCAGTTCCTCAAAGAAGGCTCACTCCCTAAAAGCCTTCCAGCCATGAATTCTTCAGCTTAATCTGCAGCTATGATAATGACTTCACTATCCAATCACTCCTCAATGGCCCCATAGCTGGATGCCAGGCCAATATATGAATCTTCAGAGACACTACAGAATCATAGCACAGCATAAGCAAGGTTTGATAATGCCAGCCTCTAATCTCAGTACTGGGGAGGCAGAGATATGAAGATCACTCCAAATTTGAAGTCATGTTGGTGTCCATAATGAATTTTAGTCAATTAGAGTTATACAGCAAGGTCCTGTTTCACAAATATCCCAAGGTATAATGGTCCCCTTGCCTCTCAGAGATAAACAATATAGACTGTCTCTCCTGACACACATTTGCTACTTTACTCATGTGTCTATTTATAAAAACAGCGCTGTTCAAAGTATTTCTAGTTTTTGATATCTTGCAAATGTCTATACTGCTTGCTTTATTCAACCTAACCCATTCCATTTCTATTACTGACAAACACACGGAAAACAGCTTCAGAGCTTTTCAACACCGAACAAGGAAGCAGTGAATATGCTGGCATCTCTTGTAATACACGTGCAAATTTACTGGGCTATTTGAATGGAATGGCACATTTGTGGACAGCATATTGCTAGCTCTCCAGAGAGGTACTAATTTACAACACTAACAGCAGTGCCCTTATCACTGACACTTAGTGCCCTTGGGTTAAGTTTTTGTTAATATGACTTGTGAAACTGCCTTAGTTTTCGTTTCAGTGAAAGATAATGAACCTGTCCATCTTCCCATTTTCTTATGGTGTATTTGTATTTCTTCTTCTGAAATTTTCTTGTTTCCTGGTGAGTAGCACTTCATTATTGTGCTTTAGATGCGACTTTATGATTAATTCTTAATCTCAATCCACTGTTGGTTATATCAGCTCCAGCTTCTTCACCGTCTGTAGTTTATGTGTTAACTGTAAGGAGCCAGTGGTCAGACAGGTGCTAATTATAGCTTTACCAAAGCACAGAGACCCTGGAAGCTGTCTCCAAAAGTCGTCAAAA